CCACTGCACTCCAGCCTGGCGACAGCGTGAGACTCCGTCTCAAAAAAAAAAGAAAAAGAAAAAGAAAAGAAAATGCTGGGGCTAAGTGCAGTGGCTCACACCTGTAATCCCAGCCATTTGAGAGACGAAGGCTGGAGGATTTCTTGAGCCCAGGAGTTTGAGACCAGCCAGGACAACATAGTAAGGCCACATGGGGGGTGGGGAAGATAAAAAACAAAATGGTGCAGGGGGGTTTAGTTCAAAAATCCAATTTTCTATATCAAAATATTTGGGATGCCTTGAAAGCAAACCACAGTAAAAGAAACACTAACATCTTTAAGTTTATAACAGGGAAAATAAATGAGACAGGCACAACTCATTATTGAAGAAAAGATGTTTTTATTCCTATCTCACACCATCCATAAAGTCTTCCTACACAAAACTCAGAAACCTCAAAGAAAAAATGGACAGATTTCAAACAGTATCAATTAAAACTTCCATAACAGAGCAAACAGACAAGTGACCAAATAAAAGTACTTGTAACATATATTACTAAGGATGAACTGGATAATAGAGGGCTTCTGTAACTCATTAAGAATATAAGGAATCCTTTTGAAAAATAGGCTAAGGAGATGAATAGGCAATTCAGAAGCATGACAATCAATGAGCATGTGAAAAACTGTTCAATTAAAGTAAGATTTATTTTTTCCCTAATCTGAATGTCAAAAGTTTAAATGATTACATTAAATGTGGACTAGGGTAGGGGCCCCCAACCCCAAGGTCACAGACTGGGCCCCACAGAAGGAGGTGAGCAGTGAGCAAGTAGCAAAGCTTCATCTGTATTTACAGCCGCTCCCCATTGCTGGCATTACCGCCTGAGCTCCACCTCCTGTCAGATCAGCAGAGGCATTAGGTTCTCACAGGAACGTGAACCCTATTGTGAACTGTGCAGGCAAGGGATCTAAATTGCATGTGCCTTACGAGAATCTAATGCCTGATGATCTGTCACTCTCTCCCATTACTCCCATATGGGACGGTCTAGTTGCTCAGAGCTCCCACTGATTATATGTTATGACAAGTAGTAAAATTATTTCATTATATATTCCAATGTCATAATAGAAATAAAGTGCACAATCAATGTAATACATTTGAATCATCCAGAAACCATCTGCCCAACCAGATCTGTGGAAAAATGGTCTTCCACAAAACTGGTCCCTGGTGCCAAAAAGGTTGAGGACCACTAGACTAGGGTACAGAGAAACTAGTACTTTAATATACTACTGGTGAAAGTATAAAGTGTAACATTTTGGGAGGGCAATATGGTAGTATCTATTAACACTGAAAAGCTCCTCAAGCCATCCATTCTACTTCTAAATATCTCCTCTAGATATGGATAAGGATTTGTTTTCCAAGATTGTTTTTAATAGGGAGAAACCTACAAGCAATCCTCAGTTTTATCAGTAGAGGACTGAATTAAAGTATGGTACATCCATATCATGCAATATTGTATAGAAGTTAAGAAAACCAGACAGAGTACACGTATTCACAAGGAAAGATCTAATACATGGTTAAACATAATACACAACCAAATGTACAGCAGGAGCCCATTTTGTAAATGCACAGAAAATATCAACAACTAAATTCATCAAAACTGGTGATTACTTCTAGGAAGAGCAATGGAATAGAATTACAGACTTTTACTTTACCTGAGTAATTTGGACTTTAAATAAGACTGATTAAGAAGAAAAAAAAGAGCCGGGTGCGGTGGATCACGCCTGTAATCCCAGCACTCTGGGAGGCCAGGCGGGTGGATCACTTGAGGTCAGGAGTTCCAGACCACCCTGACCAACACGGTGAAACCCCGTCTCTACTAAAAATAGGAAAAAAAAAAAAAATTTAGCTGGGCGTGGTGGCAACTGCCTGTAATCCCAGCTACTTGGGAGGCTGAGGCAGGAGAATTGCTTGAACCCGGGAGGTGGAGGTTGCAGTGTGAGATGGTGCCACTGCACTCCAGCCTGGGCAACAGAGTGAGACCCTGTCTCAAATAAAAAAAAAAAATTTAAATTTAAAAAAAGAAGTAAAAAAGAATTATGAAAACACTAAAAATCAAATCTGAAACATTTTTAACATGATAAAAAATTATACTGAACAGGGAAGAAAATATTTGCAAATCACAGATGTGATAAGGACTTGTATCTAGAATGTATAAAGAACTCTTACAACTCAAAAACAAAAAGACAACCCAATTTAAAAACAGGCAAAAGATCTAAATAGACTTTACTCCAAGGAATATATACAAATGACCAATAAGTGCACGAAAAAATGCTCAACATTATTAGTCATTAGGGAAATGCAAATCAAAATCAGGAGATACCACTCCACATCCACTTAGGATGACTATTAAAAAAAGAAAATTAACAAGTGCTATGAGAGGTATGGGGAAATTGGACCCCTCATAGAGTGCTTATCGGAATGTAAAATGGTGCAGCACTTTGAAAGTTTGGCAGTTCCTCAAAAGGTTAAACACAGTTACCATGTAAGCCAGTAATTCCACTCCTAAGTATAGACCCAAGAGATATGAACACATACATCCACGCAAAAACCTGTCACATATGTTCACAGCAGCATTATTCATAATGGCCAAAAAGCGGCAACAACTCAAGCGCCCATCAAGAAGGTCAAGTTTTAAAAAAAGAAAGTCTCGGCCGGGTGCGGGAGTGGATCATCTGAGGTCAGGAGTTCAAGATCAGCCTGGCCAACATGATGAAACCCAGTCGCCACTAAAAATACAAAAATGAGCCGGGTGTGGTGGCTGGCGCCTGTAATCCCAGCTACTAGGGAGGCTGAGGCAGGAGAGTCGCTTGAACCCGGGAGGCAGAAGTTGCAGTGAGCCGAGACCATGCCATTGCACTCCAGCCTGGGTGACAGAGCGAAACTCGGTCTCAAAAAAAAAAGTCTCACATTAAGGTCCACAAAGCAACTGTGCATTCACTAACTAAATATCAACTCGTAAGAAAAAAGTGGAGGGAGGAATACTTCCATTAATATGGAAATTAAATCTAAATCATACAGGCTTTTTGACAAGGTAATCGTATTTTAGAGACCATTCCTTTACGAGAATAACCCAAAGGAGGGAAAATGAGACGCAGATAAACATATTCTTAGTAGTCCTATTTTATAAAAGCAAATACTGGAAGGAATCCCAGTCTCTCACAATAAAGTGGGTGAACTCTGGTTATTAAAAAAAAAACCTATGTAGTGTTTTTATATTGTATTTAATAAAAATGTCAAGCATGTGGATTACATCCATAACTAAAAATGGGTAACTACTCAATCAGGAAACACACATTTAAGCAATATACAAGGTAGAGAGAGCCACCCGAGAATAAAAAATACTTTGCCAGAGCAATGCTTCTCAAACCTTAATGTGCATAAGAATCATGAGGGAATTTACAAGCTTTTTCATTGTAGCCTTGTTTGACTGGGCTCAGGCATTATCTCTAAAATGAGATTCTAAGGTATGTGTATCAAGTTAATTGCTGTAGTGCACTGAAATAGCAATACTGTTTCTGTAATGGGACTATGAATTTGTTTTAATTTTAACTTTCCAAATTATTTATAATAATACTGCAATGTACTATGTAATAATGTTGCATGGTATATTACATAATGATTAAAAACACACGATTCTACCGAGGACAAGAGAAGTTGGTTAAAATCAAAACCAGTAAGTGGGCAGAATCAGAATTGGACAGAACGATCCGACTCCAAGGCCCGCATCTTAACTTCAGGCTTCTCAAACTGCGGCAACGCACATTCTCCCGGAGCGGCATTCAACATCGACAATACTGAAACTGGACCTATAACCGAGCGGCGAGTTAAGTCGGCACGAACGGTTTCTAGAAGCTCGAGACGAGGGAAACTGGGGGCTCGCGGCTCCGCCCCCAGATCGTCTCCCCGCCCTCGGGGGCGCTCGGGCGGAAAAGTTTGCAGGCGCTACGGCCCCGGGGCCTTTCTACTCCCCAACCTTCACGCTCCGTTTCCTTTACCTCACCTTCACCTCTTTCGGCCTCTCCCAACATCTCGGCCTCCCCCGCTGACCCAAACAGAGGCAAAACAAACGCCAGCTACCCCGCCCCCGCCCTGGCCCCCAAGCCCAGCCCTCGCCTCAGGTCCGGGGAGGCCTCCCCCACGATCTCGGCCCGCAGCCCCAGCGCCCGCGGCCCGGCCCCACTCACAAGAGGAAGCTCATCTTCGGTCCTCAGATGGGAGGCGAGGGGCCTCTGGCCCCCGCCCGGATCAGGATTCGGAGCCGGCGAGAGGGAGAGGACCGTCCTTTGCTCACGGGCAGCGGAAGCCGGGCCGCCGCCGCTCGGAGCCGGGTTTCTGGCCGCTGCGAGCCCCTCGCAAACCTCGGCGCCCGCCTTGCCCGCCTACCCCACCTCGCAGACCCGAAATGCGGAACCAACAAAATCTCGCGAGCTAAGGTTTCGCGGCGCCGGGAGGGACTTGACGCACCCCCTTTCGCTCCGCCTCGTCCTAGAACTTGGCCAATCATTGCTCTCCAAGCCAGGCCCTCCCTCCCCCGGAGGCGTGGCGAGGACGGCGGTCCTGCGGAAAGGGCAGTGGCTGGTCCTGCTCTTAGTCCATCTTGGTGCTGCTGAGTTTCGACCCAGCTCCCTAGGTTGCGCAGGGTCCTCTATAAGCGCTACCTACCCCTGCAAATTTTTAAAATTTTTAATTTTTACTTGAGATATATTCACATAGCATAAAATCTATCCGTTAAACATGTACCCTCTAGTGGTCCTTTTCGTTTATGTTTTTTCTTTTTTTTTTTTTTTTTGAGGTGTCGCACTCTATCGCCCAGACTGGAGTTCACAGTTCACTGCAGCCTGGACTTCCTGGGCTTAAGTGATCCTCTCGCCTCAGCCTCCCGAGTAGCTGAGACCACAGGTGCGTGCCACCACGCCCGGCTAATTTTCTCAAAGTTTTTGCAGAGACGGGGGTCTCACTGTGTTGCCCAAGCTGGTCTTGGACTCCTGGACTCAAGGGATCCTCCTGGTTTGGCCTCCCAAAATGCTGGGATCACAGGTGTGAGCCACTGCCTCCGGCTTTGTTTATGTTTTCAAAGTGTGCCAACCATCACCACTAATTTTTTTTGTTTGTTTTTCAGACAGAGTCTCACTTTGTAACCCAGGCTGAAGTGCAGTGGTGCAATCTAGGCTCGTTGCAACCTCTGCCTTCCAGATTCAAGTGATTCTCATGCCTCAGCCTCCCGAGTACCTGGGATCACAGTCGTGCGCCACCACACCCGGGTATTTTTTTTTTCCAGTAAGGACGGGATTTCACCATGTTGACCAGGCTGGTCTCGATCTTGAACTCCTGACCTCAAGTGATCCACTCACCTTGGCCTCCTAAAGTGCTAGGATTACAAACGTGAGCCACAGCACCCAGCCTAACCATAATTCTAGGTCATTTTCACCACCTGGAAAAGAAACCCCATACCTATTAGCAGTCACTCTTTATCACCCACCTCCCTCCTCCCAACCCCTGGCAACCACTACTCTACTTTCTATTTCCATGGATTTACCTAATCTGGACATTTCATATACACTGTGAACGGAAGTATACATTATGTGGTCTTTTGTGACTGACTTCTCTCACTTAGCATGTTTTAAAACTCACCCATATTGTAGCATGTATCAAAGCTTCATTCCTGGCCAGGCACAGTTGTGCCTTACGCCAGTAATCCCAGCACTTTGGGAGTCTGAGGCTGGTGGATCACTTGAGCTCAGGAGTTCGAGACCAACCTGGGCAACATGGTGAAACCCTGTCTCTACAAAAATAGAAAAATTAGTCAGGCATAATGGGGTGTACCAGTGGTCACAGTTATTCAGGAGGCTGAGGTGGGAGGATCCCTTGAGTCCAGGAGGTGGAGGCTGCAGTAAGCCAAGATGGCGCTGCTGCACTCCAGCCTGGGTAACAGAGCCAGACCTGTCTCTAAAACAAAAAAAAAGAAAAAAGAAAAAAACTTTCTTTTCTTTCTTTCTTTTTTTTTTTTTTTTTTTTTTTTTGAGACGGAGTCTCGTTCTGTCTCCCAGCCTGGAGTGCAGTGGCGCGATCTCCGCTCACTGCAAGCTCAGTCGCCTCCCGGGTTCACGCCATTCTCCTGCCTCAGCCTCCCGAGAAGCTGGGACTACAGGCGCCCGCCACCACGCCCAGCTAATTTTTTTGCATTTTTAGTAGAGACGGGGTTTCACCGTGTTCGCCAGGATGGTTTCGATCTCCTGACCTTGTGATCCGCCCATCTCGGCCTCCCAAAGTGCTGGGATTACAGGCGTGAGCCACCACGCCCGGCAACTTTATTTCTTTCTATGGATGAGTAATATTCCATTATGTGAATATACCACATTCTGTTTATCCATTCATCTGTTGAGGAACATTTGGGTTGTTTTCACTTTTTGTCTATTATTAATAATGCTGTCATGAACATTCATGTACAGGCTTTTGTGTGGTATTAATGCCAAGTGACAGCCAAGCAACGCCTTCATTCCACCATGGTAGAATGCAGAAAACAAAAGGAAAATAGTGGGAGACTTGATGGCTCAGCCAATGGTGGTGCAGGGTGCTCAATGTAAAAGAGTTTGCCCTGTACCTGACTGCACACTATTCATGTTTCCGGTAATTTTATTTCGTTCATGTATCACTTGTCACATTAAGTTAATGATGTTAGAGCACATGAGAGTGTATTAAATTATATTTACTATTTCTTGAATGTATTTTTCAGTCAGTTATGTAAAGCAAATTTACATACTCTTTTTCCTCACCTGAAAAAAATAAGTTAGTAATTTTAATTTGAATTTTTTAAGCTTTTGTAGTTTTTTGGAATTTGATTGATAAATATATGTGATTTGATATAGCTATATGGAAGTTACAAATATAGGAACACAGATTTAGGCCAGGCGAGGTGGCTCACGCCTGTAATCCCAGCACTTTGTGAGGCTGAAGTGGGCAGATCACTTCAGCTCAGAGATTTGGGACCAGCCTAGGCAACATGACAAACCCCCATCTCCCCATTTCTACAAAAAAAAAAAAAAAAAAAAAAGCCAGGCATGGGGGTGCACATCTATAGTCCCAGCTACTTGGGAAGCTGAGGCAGGAGGATGGGTTGAGCCCTGGAGGTAGATAGAGGCTGCAGTGAGCCGAGATGGCACCTCTGTACTTCAGCCTGGTTGACAAAACTGAGGCCCTGTCTCAAAAAAAAAAAAAAAAAAATCTATTTACACTTCTGTGGTAATTTATATTACTTAAATAACATCATTAAAATGACTTCCAAATAACATGGGAAAAAAGAAATTCATGGAAGTTTTTCCTCTTTCAGTGGTATTTTTCTTCCAGTTGAAGAATCACTGAGGATAGAAGACCAGCTATTCATAAGAAAAACCTTTCAGGATGGCTAAATTTGGTTGGGGTAGCAGGGAGGGAGGATTTCAGGGTTAGGGAAAAATCCTCAATCAATATTTAAGCAGGATATCAACATAGTTCACTTAGAGATCAAAGATAAGATTTTCCAGTAAAAGAGAGAAAAAGAAATTGTTCTTTGCTAATTGCTACAGGACAATTTGTTCCCCATCAGACAAGGTCTGTACAAAGACTAAAGAAGTTTTATTCACTTCTTGGCTTAGCCGACCAGAGATCACTGCACACCATCTGGTCACAGCAGATGCTGAAAGCAGAAGCTAAGCAGCAAATTATGAAGTCTCCAGGACTGGCTCTTCTGAACCTCTCCCCACCCCCCTTTCATCACACAGTTCCCCTTTCCAGCTCCCTGAGGCAAGATTTGCAACTCTGCATTTTCGTTCTGTGTAAGTGCCCATCCTATCATTTGCAAAACTCCACTTTTACCCTAACAACCTCACCCACACAGGCCATCTTCCCACTTTGGTCACAGTAAGGTTCCTGCCCCTCCCAGCCAGTTGGTGCTGTTGGGAGCTCAAGTTTTTTTTGTTGTTGTTTTTTAAAAAACAAAAACAAACAAAAAACTCTACTCCTGTGACAGATTAAGGAATTTTAATCTTTGTCACAAATAGGTGAAAAGAAACAAACAGTAAAGTTGTTGACCAGCCTGGGCAACATGATGAAACCCCTTTTCTACAAAAAATACAAAAATTAGCTGGGCGTGGTGACTTGAGCCTGTAGTCCCAGCTACTCTGGAGGCTGAGGTGGGAGGATCCCTTGAACCCAGGAAGTCCAGGCTGTAGTGAATGGAGACTGCACCACTGGGAGGCTGAGGCACAAGAATCACTTGAACCCAGGAGGCAGAGGCTGCAGTGAGCTGAGATCATGCCACTGCACTCCAGCCTGGGTGACTGAGCAAAACTCTGAATCAAAAATAAAATAAAATAAGTACAAAAATTAGCCAGGCGTGGTGGTGCACACCTGTAATCCCAGCTACTTGGGAGGCTGAGGCAGGAGAATTGCTTGAACCTGGGAGGCAGAGGTTGCAGTGAGCCAAGATCGTGCCACTGCACTACAGCCTGGGCAACAGAGTGAGACCCTGTCTCAACAAACAAACATTAGTGTCCCTAAAGTTGATATACAATCCCGTACTGGTAAATTTCACTGGCTTTAAAATTTTTTTAACAATAATTTTAAAAGAATTTGTTTTGAGACAGGATCTGACTCTGTCACCCAAGCTGGAATGCAGTAGTAGTGTGATCGTAGTTCATTGTGGCCTCAACCTCCCAGGGTCAAGTGATCCTCCCACCTTAGCCTCCCAAGTAGCTGGGACTACAGGCTCACTCCACCACATATGGCTAATTTTTTTTTTTTTTTTTTTTTTTTTAGAGATGGGGGTCTCACTAGGTTGCCCAAGCTGGTTTTGAACTCCTAGGCTCAAGGATCCTCCCTCCTTAGTCTCCGAAATTTCTGGGATTACAGGCATGAGTGAGCCACTGTGCCTGGCAACATTTTTTTTAAAGCATGTTGCAGGAGAGACCTGGGAGAGACTGAGGAGACTTAGGAGATGCCATTTAAGCCTAGTCTCCAGAAGATGAGTTAGCTGAATGGAGAGAGAGAAAGAAGAGATCTGCTCAGAGTCCACAGCATGTGTGAAGGTTTTGAAGCAAGAAAGAGTATGTTGTGTTCAAGGAACTGAAAAAAGTCAGTGTGATGAGAATGTGATAGACAAAGGGGAAAGTGAAGGGAGATGAAACCAGCACCAAGAGTCTTGGATCTTATTTGAAGCAAGGTGGCCATCCATTGAAAGGGTTTCAGGACAAGCATGACACCATTTACTCTTTAAAAAACCGAAACAGTGGCCAGGTGATCCTGGCCTGTGATCCCAGCATTTTGGAAGGCTAAGCAGGGAGGATCCTCGAGCTCAGGAGTTCAAGATCAGCCTGGGAAACATAGGGAGACTCCATCTCTACAAAAAATACAAAAATTAGCCAGGTGTGCTGGCTATAGCCATGTGCCTATAGTCCTACCTACTCGGGAAGCTAAGGTGGGAGGATTGCTTGAGCCTGAGAGGTTGAGGATGCTATGAGCTGTACTCAATCCACCGCACTCTAGCCAGGGTGATAGAGTAAGCCCTGTCTTAAAAAAAATTACAAAAATAAAAAAAAGCGAAG